AAAACTTAAGCTCCAAAAAACGAGCGCCAGTGGAAAATAATTTGTCTCTCAAAATTGCACAATATGTAGGATTTCAGGATCCTTTCGCGGCTTGCAATGATCCAGCCACATAGAACAGCACTCCAAAAGCTGAACAGATATATTTGTTTGTTGTATATTTTCTGTTTTTCAGTTGTAGTTTAATTTTATACACAATTAAAAAAAAACAAATTAAAAACAAAAAAAAGTACAGGCGTACGCGGCACTTTATTGCGGTATGTTTTTGCTTACGAAAAATCGAATTGGAAATTTGGAAATTTGAAAACTGCAGTCACAGGACTGTGGACAGTGGACTGTGTGTATGTGTGGATGCCGATAGCTGGTGGGAGCCTGAAGCAGAAACACGCGCCAACGTAACGCACACGCAAACGCTTCACGTTGAACTGACGCTGCGGCGACGAGCCCCAGCAGGCGCAAGCTCCGCAGCGCTGCAGCGCGCGGCCCCAAAACGCTCGAGCAGCGTTGAGCAGGCGCCAACGCGACGCCGACGAAGCGACGACGATGCGACGACGATGCGACGACGATGACGACGAGGGCAATATAGCCGAACGAACGACTCACAAAGCCCTCGGACGAAGCGCACGAGGGACCACAGCCAACCAGGTGAGCTCTTGGCCCAGTCTGAGGCCACATGTTGCCAAAGGTTCGTGCTGCTTCGGAGAGTGTTGCCGGGCTTTCGATGTAATGTTGCTTGCAGCATGCTGCTGGGCCTTTTACTGATTTTCGTTCTCCGCGTCTGCGTGATGGGCTTAAGCCGCCCTATCCCCTCCCACCCCAGCACTGCACTGCTTTGCCTTGCACTGCTTATGGCATGATTCATTCACTCGTAAAGCAGTAATCTCACACCCACACACATTTGTCTAGAAGGAAACAGCAGCAGCGTCAACGGAAGTCGCGGCCACAGATTTTCACTTTTTTACCCACTCACACAAAGAAGCACTCACATGGAAAGCACTCATCAGACATGCACAGCCTCATGGGTGGTGGTGCCCATTGTTTGCTTTTATGATTTTTTATGATTTCATCATCATCCGCGCCAAAACAATGCAGCAAGGGTGTGCTCGACGGGGGCTAGATTTGTCGTTCAGTAAACAGGAAAGCAGCCAATATTCCCGTGGGACTGGGAAAACCAATTGTTTCTCGTAGAAAATCGCATAACATTGACGACATATTTATAGATTTATTTATCATCAAAACCCAAACAAATCCCAAGCTCAGTTATTCTGAGACACCTGTTCGATAAATAATGTAAAATTATCGGAATCTTTCCTGGCGAATATTCCTTGTGCTCGTATCATTCGCTTATGAGAAATTTGTGCAGTGTAGCAACGTCACTACTTTACACTGCTTAGCCATTTTGAGTCTTCTTGATTCTTGATTCCCATAGCTACATCAGCATCTGTATCTGATCCCACTTTTCTTTGCCTTTCCTTCCTGCCATTTCTACTACCATTTTTTCTTACAATTCCATGGTATCCTTGCGGTCTATTTGTCCCACTTTCGAGTGCATTTTTATTCTATATTTTGTGTTTTTGGCTTAATTTTCGCCCCTTTGTGGCGTTGGGTCGAGAAAAACAGGCGAAAGGAAAACTAAACTAAACTGAAAAACGAAGAGAGGGAAAAGGAAAAGCGAAAAGCGTTGGCTGGCAAATTCAATTTGCATACGAGGCACTCGCACTCCGCCATGTGGCCAGCATTTGGCACTTTCGTTGTCGGAGCATTGAAATCTGCAGCCATTTAACACAAGAGCCAGCCCCGTCGCGGCGACGATGGAGTTGCTAATTGACTCGACCCACCTGTGGGTGGTGTGGCATGGACTTTCAGAGGTGCTGCAGAGCTGGCTGCGCCAACTCCAAGTGTCTTTTGGCCAAAATTTAATCAAGCAATTCAATGCGACCGCAGAAAGCACAGAAACACACAGAAACACACAGAAAACATACAACGAGAGATATGTACATAGATGGAAAAAGCGCCATAAATATAACTTTGAATACCAAATTACAAAATGGGCAAAATATGCGATGGAGAGTCGACTCCGAAATGTAATTACATTACCCTTCCACCTCCCCCCCCTCCCCCCACCACCCGCCTTGCCGCATTTCGGTGGCAAGCATGAGTTTTGTTGTTTGCATAATCATAAAAAAAGAGCACACAACTTACACGCGGCTTCAAGTGCAAGCTGTGCACAGCATCCATTGACGCACTTTCAACAGAAATAGAAACACAGAACGAGAACCAGAACGAGAACCAGAACCAGAATCAGAATCAGAAACCAAACCGAAAAACAACCAAACCGACAATCATAAAAACATTGCGAAAGTTTCAAATATCAGAGAGCGACAACAAACGGAGCGGGCTCCCTATATATCGTAATGCTCTCGTGTTGCATCCACACATATCGTAAGAGTACTCGTTGCAGAACCGCACAACCACAGAGCCCCACAAGAATGAAGAGAGCATTAAAACACGAGACGAGCCGAAAGAGAGACCAATCAGAGTCTGAAATAAAAGATATATTAACCCAGATGCTTTATCCATTCGGTATGTTCGAATAAAATCCAATGCCACACAACAGTGCGAATGATTCATTCATCCATTCTTCGGGGACAAGTCTTGTGTTCATTCAAGGGATATGCGTGGCAGGAATGCGTGTTTGTCAAACTTCAAGCCGCATGAAGACCAATCTAACAAAATTATGTCTACCACTTGGACTAAAGTTTAACAGTTTAACTAAAGTTTTTTTGAACAGTTTTTGAGCTGGCTATAAAATAGCCAATGCTTCCAGGTCCCTCAAATCGCTATCCCCTGGAACCTAGAAGAAGGATCCGTATCTTCTCTGGATCTCCTGCGGCTCGAGGGTTCTAGAACCAACTAATTTCGTTTCACCAGAAACTCTCACCATTGAAGGAGAGGTGGAGCGAGGGCAAGTGTTGGAAATTCATTAAATTCCCAAGGACACAACTTTGGGCGGATTCCTTTTTTTTCGGCAAGAGACTCTCTCTCTATATGTGTGTTTGTGTGTGTGTTGGAGGAGGGGGGGAGGGCGACCTCTGACATTGCATTTAATCTCGTTGACAGCAGTTAACACGCCCCCAAGTAGTAAAAGCAGGGAAGCTGAAACTGAAGCTGGAGAGAGACCCCGAACAGGGAATAAGGACTCTACTCTCTGCTGCTCTGCTGCTCTGCTAAGGGGATGCTGATGGGGAGGATGGAGAGGATGCTGCTGCTCTTGGAGGATGTGTTGTGTGTGTTGCGTGTGGCACTGCTGCAAGCGGATTATTTAAGTTTATAATACGCTTAGGGGTAATTTTAATCTGTTGCAAATTGTTTTTGCTGTGTTGCAAGAACACAAACACAAAAACACACACACACAGACACCCAGCACACTCTATAAGAACCCTCTGCTGTTGCTGCTGTCAGGACACCAAATCACCATCTATAAAACATATTCTGATTTTTTTTTGTGGCGCTCTCTCTGTACTTTTGTGGCATATTTCATAGATACAATATTGTAATCTGAAGAGGGAGAAAGTGGGGGACCGTGTGGCGGGCGGACTAGGAATTGCGGTTGCTCTTTGGGGGGTTCTTTCGGGGGTTCTTTGGGGGCGGGCGAAAGTTGGTTTGTAATTTCACTTTTTTCGGTTAAAGGACTTGTTTCTGCTGCTGCCTGCCTTTGCGCTTCTAGTTTTGAGTTGTTTCAGTTGCAACTCACACAGCGAGCTCCCGGATGCGAATTGTTCAGGGTCAAGTAAATCGCGAGAGGCATGTGGCAGCGGAGGGATGGGGGCTTCCACATTCAGCTTAACGATGGAATGAAATACTCGCTACCCAAAAAACTTAATTGATATCCAAGACAGCGTAATCCTTGCAGCAGAATCAACTCGAAGGAAGGTCACATCAAATTAAAAGGAAAACACAGGGAATTCGACAGGAATATGGAAACAACAACATCACTGCGTAAAGGGTTCGTCTTTAGACAGCGAAAAGTTAAACCTAAACCTTATGATTTCACTGTTGTGTTGTTTCGAATGAATTCTCCTCTTTAGACAGTGCAAGGGTAAAGCTTAGGGAATGATACGAAGGAGCAAGAGCCGCGACTCTACATTTATACCCGATGCTCAGTGAGTATACCTCCCCTTGCCCCGATACGATACGCATTGAGTGTATACTCGTACCGAGTGTGCACTGGGTATACGCATCTACGCACTTATTTGAGGGAATTTCCCGTTAAATAGGTATGAAAGATGCAGAATTAATTAATGAAAAATTCACTAATTTTGCTTGAAATATAACACTCCAGTGCACAGAGCACAAGAATTTAAGGTAATTTACAAAGAAACAATATGTACATATTTATGTATGCACACATATGTGTACACACACACACACACACACACACACTCATAGGGGATTCTCAGACGCTGGAATGTGGCATTCGGCAGAGCACTCGTCCCCCGCCAGTGGTGCTGCATCCATCGAAAATCCATTAGAAAATCACCCAAAAATGCGAATATTCAACCCAATTCTCGATGATGGCGAAACTTAATTAAAGTCGAAAGAAAAAGGAAAAGGAGGAAAGGAGGGGAAGGGGAAGCGGAAGGGATACACTATTTCCACTCAATGGAAATATTCCGTTTATTGGGCCAATTAATATTTAATATTTGAAATGGATTTGTGCCATTTTGCATTTTGCCAGAGCATAATAATGCTTTGTGTAGTATATGGACTATTCGCTCGAATGATTTTCCGCGATTCTGGGATGAGATCAGCGAGTAGGTGTCCCAGCATAGTAGTCGTCGGAGATCACGCCATTCGCGGGGATGGGGATTAAACTTAAGAACTTAAGGTGATCGGATCACTTAATGGCAAACAATTTAAATGAAATATACGTTTGGCAAATGTAAGGCACAATAAAATCAAATAGAATAAAACAAAATAAAGTAAAATAAACATCCACTCACCCGGAGACCACACTTCATTTCGACCTGTATCTGGGTCTGGAGTTGCCTCTGGTTCTGGCTCTGGCTCTTGATCTGGTTGCGATACGGTTTCTCGATTCTCGGTATCTGAATCTTCTTCTGGTTCGCGATCGGCGGGTGCCCCGGACCCAGGGTTGGCGTCCGCGCCGCTGCTGTACGGCGGCGGCGGGCAGCCAGCTTCGTCGGTCTCATCCAGGCACTCGACTTGCCCGTTGCAGCGGTACGCGAGAGGCAGGCAGATGGAGTCGCATCTGAACTGATCTTCAGTGCAAACTAAGGCACACCAAAGAAGCGCAAATCAAAAGGGAAAATGTTCAAAATTAAAACAAAGCAATCACAAAAGCAACAAAATTAGTGGAATGAAGAATGAAAGAAGGTATCAGCGATCGGGGATCGACCATCACTGATCGGAACGAGCGACTAACGATCATTAATCGATAACTGATCATTCATATGTCGATAACAATTGGCAATAAATAATCAGTGATAATTCATCGACAAAACTTAGAGGCAAATAGTTGCACATAAATAACTATACCAAAAGAAGAAATTTGATACATAAATAAGCATATATTACTAATCGATAGCAAGAATCACAGTAAATTAACCGATAAATACGTTACAATAGTTGATGCGTAATCATTGATAGTTCATCCATAAGCATCCGAATGTAATAATCGATAAAAGTCAGCTTTCATTATTCGATTCATTGATAACAATCGGTGACTTTGCTTGCCATACAACGGATTATCGATCGTCAATCGCTGGTTAATGATAGAGGGTTGGGAGGGATGAAGGATCGGCCGATTCTACGACTATCTAGAGTTTTAGTATGCGATGAGAACGGTATATGCGGGATTAGAGATGCGCTGCGATACGATTCGATGACGATCGCTAGCTAATGAAGAAATCCTTCGACATTTACCCAGGCCAGGACTGGTAGCGATGTTGGTCTGGGGATAACAATCCTCCTCATCCTCGCCGTTCTGACAATTGAAGACGCCGTCGCATCGCATCTCGTCGCAGATGGTGGTTCCGGTAGTGCGGCAGATGAAGGTGGCATCGCCGCGACAGCCCAAGTCATCGCTGGGACCAGTGTTCCAGCTGTTGTGGCCGGAACCCTCGACATCGGGCTCTGACGTGGCAGTGGGTTCATGGGGAAGTGGATCCTCGTTGGGATCGCTGGGATCGCTGGGATCGGTGGGCTCTGTTTTTGTTCGGAAGTCACAAATTGAATTAGCAGTCGATAGACACATCAAGGTGGATCACATCATAGAAGACGAAAACGTAGACAAAGACAATTATAATAGAGTGGAAGCAGAAGCGGCAAGGCAAGTGGAAATAATGGAAATACTCCTCCTCATAGGGAGGCACAGAAACAATGAGGAGACACACACGAGAATGAGGCAGGGGGTTATTCGCACGTTAGTCTCAGAGTAGACTGCAGTTCTCCACACCGTTGTAGTATCTGCTGCAGGTGTCCTCCCATTCGTCCGAGTTGTCCTGACAATCCTGCCTGCCGTTGCACAGGTCGTAGCAATGGATCCGCTGGCCATCGGCGCAGTAAAAGTCCGCACCATCACACCCCGCCTTGAATGCTGGCGGAGATGCTGGCGTTTCCAGCGATGGTGGTGGCGGTGTCGTTGATGATGGGGGCGCTGGTGTTGGGGCTGCTGCCTGCCACATGGATTCTACATACAGAATTCAGGATTGAACGGGGTGGATGATTGACAGCAGCAGGGAGTAGCAGCAGCAGCAGCAGCAGCAGCAGTAGCAGCAGAAAAAGACTGGAGATTGAAGATCTAACACACACAGACACTTACCATGAACCTTCTCGAAGGAGAAGACATCATCCGCAAAGGCACCCAATCGTCCTAGTCTACTGTAGGTCGTCAACTGTTCACGCAGTTGGTCCTCGAACTCTGTGATGCGATTGGGCAGCTCCAGTTGGAGCATCACGTTCACCTTGAAGCCATCATCCGTTTGACTGCGAAAGGAAAGAGGACACTGATTAATGGACATCCTAGAGGGCTTATGGATGGGACTCACTCGACTCGCAGCAGGGTACTGCGGATGTCCAGCTCATCATCATCGACGGTGGTGACAAAGAACTTGCGGATCTCCTCCTCGAGCAGCTTCTGCAGATTGAGGAAGGCCTCGCTGTTCCTGTCCGCAAACTCGTCCGTGTAGGGCTCGGCAATGGTGAAATATGTGCGATCTGCAAGCCGGGTCAAGGATCAAAAAGGGATCAATGAGAGTACTACTTCTGGACTTACAGAAGCTCGTCTCCTCGTCGACATCGGGGGAGCTGCCCTCCGTTTCGTCGTACAGCTCAGAAGCGCGCTTTCGGGGTTCGGTGGCACGATTGTGCAGCTGCTGTTGGACTTGCTTCATCAGCACCTTCTGGCGCTCTTTCTGCTCCTGGAGCCGGTGCTTCTGGTCGAGCCTCGACCGCTCCCGCTCCTCCCTGGCCCTACGGCGACGCTCCTGCTGCCGCTCAATGATCCCGCGACGATTGCGGGTCTTTTCGGCGGCAGCAGCACCATCCCCGCCGAAGATGCGGGAGAGGGAGCGACGCACACGGTGCACGCCCTGGCTGAACCAGTTGCCCTCATCCTCGTCCGCCGCCTGCTGGACCTCGGCGAGGGGCAGGTCATCGTCCTCGAGGAGGCCCTCATCGTCGTCGTCCAGCAGGGAGTCGCCGCCGCCTCCATGAAGTGCCGCCGCCGAGCCCAACTTGCTGCTGGGCTGCAGGGATACCTCGTCGGCAAGGATAAAGTCCAGGTCATCGTCAAAGTTCGAGACTTGCTGTAAAGAAAAATGAAAAATGATGGAACCATTTTAAATAATCTTGAAGAAAATGTATTTAAAGGGGATTCATCGGACAAATACTCGCATATGGAAGTCGGTAATCGAAAGAAACTGGTTGATGGAGAACCCTTAAGAGAACGTGTGTTAGAATCTTTGGATCTGAGTATCGTAATAATCTAAAAGCTGATCAAATCCCTACCACCAAGGCCATTCCATACTAATCCTCAGGCAATCAACCGGAAACCCAGAGATTCAAGCAATGCAGAGAATTCTCTTCCGCTTTACCGAGATGGCAAGTGCTAAGGGAAAGCTCTGGCAATTATCTTACATTTAGTTGAAATATAGCATTTCTCTAGCATTTATTTTCCTCCATCGCACTGCTTTCCAGTTCCATTTCCCCCACTTAGCGTTCGCTTGTTTACGGCATTCGTGTTATGTTTTCCCCAACGAAAGCACAGCGCTCGGTCTGGTTGTGGTCTCCGCTAAGCAAATACACACCACCATGCGCTCAACAGTTTTAGAGCATCTACAGTTTTAAGCTGACACTCCACCATTTTACAAGTGACATTCCCTCGGCAGTTTGAGAGTGACCGTCACTAGAAAGCTTTTCACCACAGTGGAACCTCACTACAGCGACCACTTAACATAGGCTGGCAACAGAGTTCCCCACTGTTACTGCTACCGAATGGAGTGTTTCTGTTATCGACATCCAAACAGGTGATTTCCCCCTGCAAGGGGCTCAAAAGCTGCTTGCGATACGCCCCTCATACATATGTATGTATCTTTCAGTTGTTGCAGTTCCTTACAGATCTTTCTCTAAGATATCCCTTTCTTTATGCTTCAGTGAATGGCTTGAATTTTACCAAAAATTGATTAATCTTTATAATTTGTTGCTGTTTATAAACTTCAAAATCGTGTTATAATCTTACAATCTTAAGTAGCTCAGTCAAGCACCTCCTTTTAGACTTTCGTGGAGAGAAACTTTTTAAATTCACCTGGGTCAACTTCATTCTTTTTTTATATTTTAATGTGATTGATTGTCCTTGTACATTTTTAGCTTTAAATTTTAAAGATGTTGGAATGGTTCAGACTACGAATAATCGGGAATAATTATCTGCAATATTTATATTTTAAATACAAATAATTGTATTATATTTTAGCTGTCATCAATGAATACATCAGACTTTAAAGAAAATATATATTTTTTTAATTTTTGGCTTAAAATTCCGTACTTAATTATCATTAAACAACAAAATTTCAAAGGTATATCTTTATTATTTCAGAAGCAATGCCTTAAATTCGCCAGATAGGCTGTTTCGCCCACTGTGCGTCTGTCCGTCCCGATGAGCGCCTAGATCTCAGAGACCATAGGAGGACGAAAATCTAAACTGAAAACGCAGAACCATAGAGAATGCCCCTATCTAGCTGATCGCCGAACCCGGATCAGATCGGTTTATTATTAAGGCCAGAAGGAGAAAAGGAAACTGCAGTGGCTAAGCAATGCCTTCCAGCCGCTTACTCATTCCCTCTCTCTCACACACTCTCCGTCGTGCAGTGTGCGCCCTCTGGCGGAGGGGAGCCAAACTAACTGAGTATCGGGTATAAATGTTGAGTCGCGACTCTGGCTGCGACTCCCCACGTTCCCGCCCGTTCTAATTGAGAATAAATTCTTTTCTTGTCTATTATTTTCTTTTTGTTAATCGTTTACTCTATTTCTGGAGTATTTTTTGTGAGGGTTACGTATGACGCGTGGTGTGGCTGATAAGTGCACCGCTTGCCCCATGTGCAACATGTGAGTGTGTGCCCCAACAAGAAACGCCGCTTCCCGATCATATCTATCCACGAAATTGATGTTCGATGCTCTTCCTATTACCCATTCCCCTTTTGTTCCACCCACCCCTCGCTCCACACTTCCTCCCATGATGCAGTTCTCCCCCCGCCCCCTTCTGCCACTCTGGCTGTGTGGCGGGTGGGAAATACTGGAATGTGGGGCAAGTGTGCATGGGACAAGCACCTTCCACTTATCCCCTTATCGAATATGCTTTCATAAACTAGAAAGATAATGGAAGAGACATGACAAGAGCGGCACCAAGAGAAGAGAGTGATAGAGAGAGGACAACAAGAGAGGAAAGTAATTATACATATATCAGTTTTCATTTATTTTTGAACAGTTTATTAGACATTCCATACATGGAATCGGCTTCAAAAACAGTCGAAAATTAACTAAAAAGTAAGGAGAATTTTAGGTGCTGTCTGTTTTTAAAAGCCATCCAGTTGGAATGGTATTGCATTCCTCCTGCCTGTATGCCTGTGTATGCCACATCGAATACGCCTAGTCTCGATGTGTCTCTCTAAAAGAAAGTTACAGAGTCAGCCACGTTGTAAAACATATTTTCTTGACTAGCATCAAAAAGGCCAGAAGGCATTCTGCATCGATTTCGCTGTATAAATTCCCCATAAGCGAAAATACTGTTCGCTATGATCTGATTGACGGTCACACGTAAACGTTTGATGTAACGCAGCTGAGTTCCGTCCATTCATTCACAAATGAAGATCCTTAGAAGATCATTCAAGCACTGGAAGCAGGAGAGATCCCATCGAAATATCGTGTAGAAGGGCACCATATGGTGCATATATGCCTCTTGCCTCGTCTCCAAATGAAGACCCCCCACAAAAAGTATGTTCCCGTAAAAGTGTCGCCAAAAACTGTGACTGCAAACACTGGAAACCCCTCAAACGTTTCTTCAAACTTCAGAATATCTTTTACGGTTCCATTTCTCACTGTTCGAAAGAATCAAAGTTGAACAAACTTCCCTTCGGGTGAAGGAGATTGTTGTTTTGGTTTTGATTTCTGCTGTTGCTGTTTTGTCTGCCACATTTGGGGGCTGAGGCGGCATTGTCTGGCGGGGTGTCTGCCAACTGGCTTGCCGGGGGAAAGGGAATGGGAATCGGCCTTTTGTGTGCACCAAAGTCACGTGCCACAACACAAATTTGAAGTTTTTGTCGAGTTTTGGTGTTGTTTTTGCCCTCTCTCTTCCTGTTTTCGGGTGTGTGTCACACATAATAATAATGATAATAGTAATAATAGTAATAATATTGTGGCATCTTCGATGGCCACTTAAAGAGCGATTCAGAGTAGATTTTGTGGATTGAAAAATGCACTCTAACTGAAGTTCGATTGAGGTCTGATTTTGGAATGAAGTCTTAAGAAAATTCAAATGTTTTTCAACAATTTAAGCAGATCTCCCTTTCTTATTAGCCCCGATCTCACCATTCTTTGGCCACCAAATGGCAACTGATTTTCAGAGTCAACAGTCGGTCCGCCATCTGCATTGCTGTACGGGTGGAAAATCGGTCAAATTCCGTGCCACAACAGGGGGCATGAGGCTGAGATGAGGTGCCATTTGGTGGCAGTGCGGAATGGAACGCTTGACACAGATTCCGGACGGAATCTAGCGTTTATTGGGATTATTGCACAGGAGAGGTCGCCCCCCCCACACGGATCCGCTAATGCACACGAACCGCATGGCCGTTTGTGGCTCTCAAACTGTACCGCCCACGCGGCAAAATGATGCTGCAACTGCAACTGAATCTGCCTCAGAGTCTGCTCTAAAGAGGAGACGGCGGACAGTAATGAATTATTACGCATACGCACCGCAGAACAAACAAACAGAAGCAGAAACAGAAACAGAAAATATGTACATGCAACAGACAGGCAGAGAGAGAGACAGACAGGCAGACAGACAGACAGCCAGTACACAGAGTGAAAGATTTGTATTTTTATTTGTATTTATGAGGCGATGCGGCGATCCAATTAGATGACAACACGCAAGCCACTGCCAGCGCGACTGCGTGTGTCCTTGAACCCAATTTTGCCATGCAACGAATGAGGCATCTGCCAGATTTATAAGCAAGACGAAACAAATGCATGCCCCGAAACTTGTTGCACAGTGGAAGGGGTGTTGCGGCTAGAAGTGGGTCAGCGGTGGCAAGCAAAGGTGGCAAGCAGGCGCTCACCAAGGTCACACCCCGCGATCCCTTTTCGAGTGTGGCATCCGTCCATTGAACCCCCGAAAGCTGGACGAGAAATCATCGAAGTTTCCTTTTGTGATGTTTTCACCCTTTTTGCTTTGAGTCTGGAGTCCATTTCCTGTAAAGACACAAATTACAGAGGCCAGACGCCTCCTTCGCGACTCATAAATTCGACTGCCACATGTGGCTTCTTTTTTGGTGGGGTCTTGGGGCGGGTCTTGTTGCAAGCAATTTATTTTCATCAATGTTCGAAAATCGCAGACGAGCGAGAAATTCTCGTTAAATCGATCGCCGCACATCTGAGGAGGAGGAGGCGACACGACTCTGCCTGCCACACACAATTTGTGGCCACCAGGCACGGCACAGGCACTTGCCCCAGGACGTGGCAGGCCCTAAAACTATCACAAAACCACACACACAAAAAACGTACAAACAGAAGAGCAAATCAGAACGGAAAATAAAACAAATAATCAAAATGGGGAATGGAGGATGGAGGATAAGATACGTGAGACGAAGCAGGGTATACCCTTTAATGAGAGTAAGCGAGCGAAAGAGAGAAGGAATCCAATGACCCTTAGGTAAAGGGAGTCAAACTGGGAATCAAGGGAACAGAAACAGAAAGACCGAGAGGTACTGCTGCATGACACGTCTTGTTACGAAAAGAGTGGAATCTGTAGGGCGATATCTGCATCTGTTTCTGATGAGTATTTGTCATAATAACATCAATCACAACGGGAAATCCTAGCAGATCTTTCCACGGAAAATAAGAACTGATGAAAGAAAAGATGCATTGGTTTTGGGAACATAAGAGTAAGTCTTTCGGTTTGTTTTCAGTCATACTTTTCTATTTTTAATAATTTTTAATATTTTAGTGGATAGAATTTTTGCCCTTGAGTCTCTAAAGATCCATTAATCAATTGACAGATACGACCATAATATGTATATATAGACATACATATATAGAC